TGTTTTATTTTCCAAATTAATGCGCTCGTAGCATAGATTGTCTAGACCGAGCAAAAAAACCCTTAACAACATTAATTACTATCACGCGATATGCAGACAGCTTGACTTGAATACACACACACACACACACACACACACACATACATATATATATATATACATATAATTATTTTTTATAAAAAAGTTATAACATAAGTATGTTATAAAATCACTACAAAAATAGCCATTTTGTTTCAACACACTCTGTGTCTTATCAAGGCTTCACAGAACATAAATATTATAAATTAACTAGTTCCAAATATGGTTTCTTCGCTACAAATAATAAGCATTTTTCAAAAATGGAAGCTAAAATATTCAAATTTAATTTTAAACCAGTTAATTCATAATATATATATATATATATATATATATATATATATATATATATATATATATATATATATATATATATAATATTAGTGGTAAATATACACATACATATGAAAAATATATAAATATATATACATACATGCATACACATGCATATATATTTTTTTTAATAAAAAATTACAAGAGGATAGAATCCAGGTAGTTGTAGGTCTATCTATCTATCTATATATATATATAAACAAATATACATACACACACATATATATATATATATATATATTTATTTATTAAAGACATTTTATGTTTAACGTTGTTTTTTTTTTTTTTTTTTTTATAGATACAAGTATTTAAGTAAATGCTCTGTTTAATAAAAAAAAAAAAAAAACAACGTTAAACATAAAAAAATGTCTTTAATAGATAAATTGTCGGACTTTGTCCATTTCTTAATATATATATATATATATATATATATATATATATATATATATATATATATAATAATAATAATAATAATAATAAAAAAGCTAAAAACAAACATTAATATTCCATGGTTATAATTTATTCCATTGGAATCGTAAATATTTACGATTACAATGGAATAAATTATGACCATGGAACATTAGTGTTTAAGCCTTTTTATTATTATTATTATATATATATATATATATATATATATATATATATATAGATAGATAGATAGATAGATAGATAGATAGATAGAAATATATATATATATATTTGTAAGTGGTATATATAGACCTAAATATACGTTTTTTTCTATACTTATACATATATTCCATAAACAAACTTCAACTCATACATGCTTAAATTATCTGAGATATGTGTACATACACAAATATGCAGACACCTACGGAAGTTGCCTTTATTTAGTTGGCACTAATTCACATCAGAAAGGAATGGATTCAGATCCCTGTACTCTTTAGCGGGCATCTTGTTAATATCTCCCGTCTCTGGAATGTCAAGAGATTTTACTGAAAAGTATAACTCAGCCAATCAGCCTCCGTAATTGTATTACCTACTAGCGAAAAAATCCTAAAAAGATACTCTTCATGTTTAAGTAATGTTATCAATAAACATAATGTAAAATGGCATCGAGGAACTGAGCTGTAATTTAGTCGATTCTGTTTATTTGAAGAGATGTTGTTGGAGAATATATCAATTCATATTTTCTGAATATATCAAACCAGGATCGATCCTGCTGCTGGTAGTACCTTGTGACAGATTCAGTCATATTTTGCTAGTGGCAACACAGAATAATCCCCGTTGCTCCCTTTGAATATTTTTATTTTATTGTGTAATTTAATATTTTCAAAGATTGTCTCAGAGACGTGTTTAATTAATTGAATAAAAGGGGTAGGGTTTTTGTCTCATTTGGATCGGTAATGGAAACAATAAATTAATAGTAGTAGTAATATTAGTAGTAACAATAGGAAAATTTGAAGGCAAATTTGACAGGGAATAGTCATTTCCATTTTTTGATCAATTACATAATTATTTTGCTTCAAACTCTTCCGTTTTAAACATAGATTATTTAAATCGTTTAACACCAAGCAAGGCGATAAGAGCAACCAAGAAACACAGGGATAAGCATACTGAAAGCAATTGAGTGACTACAATAAAAGAACAGGATACAAGGAGTCAGAAATGATGATTGACATTACATTTAAATTTTTGAAAATTGTAGTTGACATGAAAACAGGAAACCGGAAGAGAGATTCAAAACGGGAATTTATTAATTTTTTATTTGATTTTTTTATTTATTTGTTTTTCTTTTTTTTTTAATTTTCTCGCTGAGATCGATTCCTATTTTGCTGACAAATCGCCTCGCGGAGCAATTCAAGATCATTATATTGTCAGCGCCGGAACGAATAACAGAAAAATGAAACCTTTCACAACAATGTCTGGCAGAATTATGATGTCAGATTTCCCTCTATAATTATGAAAACCTAAATGGTTATCACTTAAATTCGTAGAAACTCTTCGAATACACGACGTACTTTATGTTGCCGTAAAAGAGATGAGAAAAGAAGAAATGATAAAAAGGTGAATATGCGGTGGGAGAAAGAAAGAAAGAAAGAAAGAAAGAAAGAAAGAAAAAAGAAAGAAACGAAAGATAGAAAGAAAGAAAAGCAAAATAGAAAGAAATGAAAGATAGAAAGAAAGAAAAGAAAGAAAAGAAAGAAAGGAGCGAAAGAAAGAAAGAAAGAAAGAAAGAAAGAAAGAAAAAAAGAAAGAAAGAAAGAAAGAAAGAAAGAAAGAAAAAAAGAAAAGAAGAAACGAAAGAAAGAAACGAAAGAAAGAAAGGAGCGAAAGAAAGAAAGAAAGAAAGAAAGAAAGGAACGAAATAAAGAGAGAAAGAAAGAAAGAAAGAAAGAAAGAAAGAAACGAAAGAAAGAAAGGAGCGAAAGAAAGAAAGAGACGAAAGAAAAGAAAGAAAAGGAAGGAAGAAAGGAGCGAAAGAAAGAAAAGAAAGAAAGAAAGCAACGAAAGAAACGAAACGAAAGATAGAAAGAAAGAAAAGCAAAATAGAAAGAAATGAAAGATAGAAATAAAGAAAAGAAAGAAAAAAAGAAAGGAGCGAAAGAAAGAAAGAAAGAAAGAAAGAAAGAAAGAAAGAAAGACAGAAAAGAAAAGAAACGAAAGAAAGAAACGAAAGACAAAAAGAAAGGAGCGAAAGAAAGAAACGAAACGAAAGTAAAGAAAAAAAGAAAAGAAAGAAAGAAAGAAACGAAAGATAGAAAGAAAGAAAAGCAAAATAGAAAGAAATGAAAGATAGAAAGAAAGAAAAGAAAGAAAGGAGCGAAAGAAAGAAAGAAAGAAAGAAAAAAAGAAAGAAAGAAAAAAAAAGAAAGAAAGAAAGAAAGAAAGAAAGAAAGAAAGAAAGAAAGAAAAGAAAAGAAGAAACGAAAGAAAGAAACGAAAGAAAGAAAGGAGCGAAAGAAAGAAAGAAAAGAAAGAAAGAAAGAAAGGAACGAAATAAAGAGAGAAAGAAAGAAAGAACGAAAGAAACGAAAGAAAGAAAGAGACGAAAGAAAAGAAAGAAAAGGAAGGAAAAAAGGAGCGAAAGAAAGAAAAGAAAGAAAGAAAGCAACGAAAGAAACGAAACGAAAGATAGAAAGAAAGAAAAGCAAAATAGAAAGAAATGAAAGATAGAAATAAAGAAAAGAAAGAAAAAAAGAAAGGAGCGAAAGAAAGAAAGAAAGAAAGAAAGAAAGAAAGAAAGAAAGAAAAGAAAAGAAACGAAAGAAAGAAACGAAAGACAAAAAGAAAGGAGCGAAAGAAAGAAACGAAACGAAAGTAAAGAAAAAAAGAAAAGAAAGAAAGAAAGAAAGAAAGAAAGAAAGAAAGAAACGGACCAAAGAATCGAAAGAAACGAAAGAAAAGCAAGAAAAGAAAGAAAGAAATGAGCAAAGAAAGAAAAGAAAGAAACAAAGAAACAAAAGAAAGAAAAAAGAAACGAATGTAAAGAAAGAGAGAAAAGAAAGAAAGAAAGAAAGAAAGAAAGAAAAGAAAGAACGAAAGAAAAAGAAACGAAACGAAAATAAAGAAAGAAAGAAACGAAAGAAAGAAAAAAAAACTGAAAGAAACAATGGATAAATCAATAAAGAACAAAGAAAAACCAAAGAAAAACAAAAAAAAAGAAACCAAAGGAAAACAAAAAACTATCCGACAAGAACGAAAGAAAAAAGAAAGAAAGAAAAAGGAAAGGGAAAAAGGAAAGAAAAAAAAAAGAAAGAAAGAAAAAGATGTTCCACGTGTAAAAAGAGAGAAAAACTGAAAGAAGGGCAAAAAATTTAAGCATAGATGAAAGAAAGAAAAAAAAAACGAGAAGGGAAAAGAAAAGAAAGAAATGAATGTTCAATAAGAAAATAAGAAAAAGTAAAGCAAAGGAAGAATTATTTACTACAAATGTTTTCTATAGATTGATCAAACTTTCGAGAGAGAAGAACTGCTATTAAACAAAAATTATGAACACACACATCGCATATATATAATAACATAGGAAAAAGATACATTTAATTTCTGTTACCTGAGACAGTTTCAAACATTAAATAATCGTCAAATCCAAAACTTAGTTTTTATACTGACTATATTTCACGAATGAATATAGCAATTATTATATAATATCACGCACATACGCATATATATATATATATATATATATATATATATATATATATATATATATATATATATCGAAAAAACATTTTTGGGTCTGGTTTGAGGAACCTGGCCTTCTAGCATATCGTAGACCTAAGAACCTAAAAGAAATCCTAGGTAGTAACCACATTTCAGGGGACAGGGTAATCCGTAATAAACCAACAACAAAAACAACAGGATTTTCCCAACCATGTAACAACAAAAGAAGCTTATGCTGCAACAACATTAAACACACGAATTCATTCACTAGCTAAGTCACGAAATGTACTTTCAAAATCTAACACGATTCTAACTGTAGAAGTCATAACATAATTTACCTCATAGAATGCACACTATGCCAGGAACAATATATAGGAAAATCTGACTGGTGCTTTCACTACAGAATTAATAATTATCGCAATCGAATTAAGTCGACTCACCATGAAAGATTATTACCTGTAGAACAACCTTTCCGCCTAGAAAAACACCATTTTAAAACCCGTACCAAATTCACTATAAGTGAGAGAATATAAAAGTCCAGACTATATATATATATATATATATATATATATATATATATATATATATATAGAGAGAGAGAGAGAGAGAGAAGAGAGAGAGAAAGAGAGAGAGAGAGAGAGAGAATGAGACAACATTGAGACACTAACTGGTTCAGAAGGGTCGAACTAGAATTGGCATGGCAAGAACAAAGATACTAAATACAATCCTCAACAAATATCTCTTATCAGCCAAAAGCAACTGACATTCGAAGATGGTCAGAGAACACTTTAGTGAAATTTTCAGTCTACAAAAACTATGAAAATCAAGATGAAAAAAAAATTCGACATTTTAATATACATATAAATAAATACATATTAAAATTTCTTAATTTCGAAAATGAAGTATGTAATTAGTCGCTGAAATATTCTTGTAAAATATTATAAAAATGAAGACGTATTAATTGCTTAGCGTACGACATTCGGAAACACTGCATTAAGGAATTCATTAGTGATAAACAAAAGAAAACTAACTTGCCAAACAATTTGTTTTATTTTAAACTAGCTTAAATATCGTGCTCCGGGCGGACTTTTAAGTTAGCTGCTGCCTCCTAAAACTAAAGGGAGCTCCGATCCAGCTTAGAAAACGGATTATAATTTTGAAGAAATAATTTTGAATCTCCTAATTCCCTTCACGAAGCTTTGAAATTTCAGCTTGATTCGTGCTATAAGTTCCATTCTAGCCAAAAGATGGATTTGGGCAAAAACTCCGCTTTGGGCCGAAATTTCAAATCCCAAACTCCGCGGAACTTTAACTCTGACTCGGGCTATATGTCCAATTCAAACTGAAACTCCGATTTGGGCCAAAATTTCATTTCAGGTCGAAAATTGAGCTTTTTAAATCACAAATTCAATGGAACTTCAAAGCCTCACTTTAAATCTGATTCGGGTTATATGTCCAATTCCAGCTGAAACTCCGATTTGGGCCAAAATGTAATTTCAGGCCGAAAACTGAGTTCTTGAAATCACAAACTCCGTGGAACTTCAAAGCCTCACTTTAACTCTGATTCGGGCTTCAAAAAGTCACGCCACGAAACCTCTCGCTTTATCTCTGATTACTTGGCATTTTGGAGAAGTAGAATTAATTTCCTCAATTTCTAAGTATTTGGATATATATTTAAACTGAAATTAAAACAAATCTTTTAAATTCACAAAGTTTTCTTTAACCTCAACATAAATTAAAAATCACTAATTTTTTTTCAGTTATTTTCACATCTGAATCCTCAAATGTCCCTCTGCAATTCGGACAAAAATCCCAATGCTGAATTTTCTAGCACCAGATGAAGAGCAGTTTTTCAATCCCCGGATCCCCCTGATTCAAAAAAATCTTTCATACGTTTATGTAGGGTAACTGTCAAATTAGAGTGTGGTTCAGACACACGAACGTACAGACAGAATTTGCCGTTTATTTATTTAGATTAAATGATCATTTGATAATAGCTTAAGAGGCGATTATGATTAGCCGGTCCCACACAGGAAATATTCATTGAGGAAACAGAAATATATAAAACCTTTCTCTTAAAACAGGTTTTCATGCAAATATGTTACATAACTGCTGTGGCTCTTTATAGAAATGATGGAAACTATTCCTACTCGTTTGTTTATATTAGCGTGGAAAGTCAATATCTTTAATATAACGACATTTTCTATTCTCGTTACGTATACTATACATTTTTACCGCTGCCGCAATGGTTAGCCTTCAAATGAGGTCGATTCTATTTGGTAAAGTTCCTTGTCTTTGATTCTGTAGCGCAATCTATGTAATCTGATGAAGAATTGCCTTCTTTAAGATCCACATGAATAATTTATTCGAAAACATTTTTCATCATTGATCTGAGAAAACAGGAATATTTAATTTGTCAAGTCCCATTCATTCACGTCTGCTTATTTGACAAGAAATAAAGGCCTTTAAATGTTTCATAGTGGTGAAGACGTTTGTAAAGTACTTAAGAAGTGCAACGATAAAAAAGTAATTAAACGTACTTAAGAAGGAGATGTTAAAACGAAAATATTATACTATATATAACTACGAATAATTGTTTGCTGAGAAATACAATAGAAATAACATCTGGAAAAGTTTTTAATCACAGAGACGGTTAAGATCTTTGTGATAATTAATTAAGTTAAATTCATATAATCGGTAATTAATCATAGCGATAAGCGACACAATTTCAACGGATGAAAATATGCATGTGGAAATTGTATTTTTTTTTCTGACTGATGTACGTGTCGACAGTGATGAAGAAGACTGAAAATAATTATGCGTGCATTAGGACGGCATTTAATTAAATAAGGCAAGATTATTCACTCTGCAAGCGTTGGGCTTGGCAAATAAATTAGAGGAGCCGGAAGCCAAAGCGAAGCTTCCGGCGTCCTCCCACCCACGACCACCCTCATATTTTCTCTTTCTCATTTCATATCGATCTTAAAGGACGGGAAAACTACAATGGTGATGTCTGCTACGCCTTACGGCGTAAATGTGACACGAATACTTAATTACGTTCGGGCTAATAGAAATTTTTCCACTCACTGTCTTAAACGTTAATATCCTATTTTGGTGGCTCCGTCTAAAACATTGGGGTTTCAGAGAACCAACTTTCCTAGAATCTTTGTAAGAAACGCTAAAACATACAAAAGTACGATTTACGGAGAAATTGTCGTGCTCCTGTTTTATTTAATTTATACTGTTTTATTATTTAAACTGTGTCAAGAGTTCCATAACACACTAAGCCCAAAGTGGTACCATTATAAACAACAATTATAGTATACCTAAGGCAAGCTTGGGGTACCCCGAGGCGGTGTAAAGGTTAGCAAACTTGTACAATTACGAATGAGTAGTGAGTTCGATCCTCACTGGGTGCCTCATACTTTCGGCCTTTTGTCACATCTAAGCTACGCTTGGAAAATCGCTGCCCAAGGCAAGCTAGCCGGACGGAGTCGATATCTCCTCAGGCTTGGACTGTGAACAATAAAGTCAATTAATGTAATATGGGAATTAATAAACTCGCATTCGAAGATAATTACTGCTTTGATCCATGTGCCCCTGAACAATTTTGAGCCTTCTGCTTGAGAACCTGAGTCAAAATTTGCAAATAATTGGAATGTAATGTTTAATGATTTATATAAAAAAAAATACTTACAAAAAATATAACCATTATACATAGCAGGGCGAGAGTATGATTACATGCCTTCACTATATCGCCAGAGTTCTTTCTTTACGTATCAGTCTATGCAGCAGGTGATGCCTCTCTTGACGCACAAGAATAGCAAAACACGACACAAGTGTTTACCCACCGTTCAACCGGAGACTGGGCATCAAGTCATTTTTCTCTACCACCGGTAAAGTGGTGGTCAGGGCTCAACGGATTAATGACAATCTATGGTAATGCGATCAGAGTTTATGGACTTACTTCCAAGTTTACCAACACTTTACAGCCTGCATCGCTTCGAACCAAGCGCTTACAGCTAAAGTATGTTGTTAGTTTCAATACCTCAGAAACTAAAGCTATTACTACTTTATCCCTGTTCCCTCAACGCACGATAATCCTTTTCACTCTCAATGAAGCTTCATGACTTGAACATCTACATTGTATCAAGATCACACTAAAATATGTTTGTCTTTACAAGAGTCAGACTGAAAATATAGAGCTGGAAGACTTTGTCAAGGATGTACATTTTATGTTCAAAATCGTCGTCAGCATAGACTCCTCATGTTCAGTATATTGACCGCTCTTTGGGGTGTTGTAAGGCATGCTTAGATAGTCAGTTCACATCGTTTCACACATGCGCTTGTAAATGCACAGGATATAGTCTGGAAAAATAAACACACTAGGACACCCATTTCCTCCACGCCGTAATCCAGAAGAGGTTTAAAATGTTTTCTATATTGCGATGTAAGATGTTATACACAGAATTATTCTTCTTTATTGTAGTAAATGCCGAAAACTGTCCTCACTGAAAAAGTGGGGTGTGGCAGAGTTGAAGTTCAAGAAAGGTATGCTGAGAATACCATGGACGGAACATGTGGGCAATGGGAAACTTCAAAAGAAAATATGAATTACAAAAATACTTACACTTAAAAAATTGAATTTTTAGGGTCATACACTAAGGAAAGGGGAGTGTAGAATTTAACACGAATATGACATAATGCTGGTAAGAGGTAAACATTAAGTAATCTTGCTATATCGAGTGCTATATCGGCCGGCAAACAGATATTGAATGACGGAATAAAAAACAAACAAAACGAAGTATATTGTGGCGAAAGGTGAGAGTTCACTAGGCAAAATATCTCTACATATTCATGTAGAATATGAAAAAGACATTGTCCTGGAGAGGACAGTTTTGTTGTGCGGTGAAAAGCGTTGCCCTCAAAAGAACAGTTTTGTTGTGCGGTGACAAACGTTGTCCTGAAGAGGACAACTTTTGTAGTGCGGTGACAAGCGTTGTCCTGAAGAGGACAACTTTTGTAGTGCGGTGACAAGCGTTGTCCTGAAGAGGACAACTTTTGTAGTGCGGTGACAAGCGTTGTCCTGAAGAGGACAGCTTTTGTAGTGCGGTGACGAGCGTTGTCCTGAAGATGACAACTTTTGTGGTGCGGTGACGAACGTTGTCCTGAAAAAGGACAGTTTTATAGTACGGTGACGAGCGTTGTCCTGAAAACGACAATTTTTGTACTGTGGTGACGAGAGTTGTCCTGAAAAGGACAGATTTGGGGAGATTTTTTTTCCTGAAAATGATAATTTATCGTATGTTGTTGCTGTTGCAAAAAGGCTGGCTGGAGCAGTTGCAAACAGGCTGGCTGTGACTGGAACAGATACAACACTTTGATCGTAGGAATCTTGGCGGCGGACACGCCTTTTAATGCTGAATCAGCTACTCAACTGTGGCTGGTCATATTATGTGAAGTTTCTTTCCGGTTGCATTTAAAAAAAAACTGTTGGAGAGCCGACAGGATACGACAGCATACCTAAAGGTCTGATTTAAAAAACTTACTTTTAGATTTTAGATTAATTGTATCCGGATAACATAGCTAATTCATTCAGAAGACAACAAAAAACAAAACGAAGTTTATTGTTGCAAAAGGTGACAATTCACTAGGCAGAAGATCTCTGCATATTCATGTAGAATATGAGAACGCCATTGTACTGAAAAGAACAGTTTTGTTGTGCGGTGACAAGCGTTGTCCTGAAAAGGACAACTGTTGTAGTATGGTGACGAGCGTTGCCCTGAAAAGGACAACCTTTGTAGTACGGTGACGAGCGTTGTCCTGAAAAGGACAACTTTTGTAGCACGATGACGAGCGTTGCCCTGTAAAGGATAACCTTTGTAGTACGGTTACGAGCGTTGTCCTGAAAAAGACAACTTTTGTAGTACGATGACGAGCGTTGCCCTGAAAAGGACAACCTTTGTAGTACGGTGACGAGCGTTGCCCTGAAAAGGACAACTTTTGTAGTACGGTGACGAGCGTTGCCCTGAAAAGGACAACTTTTGTAGTACGGTGACGAGCGTTGTCCTGAAAAGGACAACTTTTGTAGTACGGTGACGAGCGTTGTCTTGAAAAAGACAACTTTTGTCGTACGGTAACGAGCGTTGTCCTGAAAAGGACAATCTAAAGGTCTGATTTATAAACCTACTTTTTGATTTTAGATTAATTGTATCCGGATAACATAGCTAATTCATGTGTGCTTCTAGATCAGGGGCCCGACATCCCGCTAAAATAATTTATGCAACACGCTAGTAAATTTGAAATGTTAGTAAATTTGAAAGAAAATAAGCAATTTTGACAAACTACTAAATGACTGCAGTCAGATACATTATTCTCATTGAGATCCTTCTTTTGCTGAGTTACTTTGTTTTTCAAATAAATCTGTTTCATGTGAAGTTACGACTTCAAAATATCAATATTTTATTCTTTAAACTGAATTACTTTCTGCTTTAAAATCTAAATTATTTTTTCTTTAAGTTTAGTTAATTTATGTGTTTTATTTGAAATATTAGTAAGAATTGGATTTATTTCTTTAAGTCCTGTTAATCTCTTTTTCAAATAAATGTTTCCTATTTTATAATATTAATTAATAAAAATATTTTTTTATTAAAACAAGGTTATTTTGTCTTTTAAATCTGTTTCATATAACTCTAGAGCTTTGGGCACCTTGACGTGGTGTAATGTTAGAAAACTTGTCTTGCTAGATCAATTACAACTGAGTAGGGAGTTCGATCCTCACTAGCTGCCCCATTCTTTCGGCCTTGTGCCACATCTAAGCCGTGCTTAGAAAATCTTCTTAAACTTAGAAATACTAATTATTATTTTTTCTTTAAATTAAAATTTAAATTGCTTTAAACTGAGTTGATTTGTCTTTCAAATAAACTCGTTTCATCTGAATCTTCTACAGTCCATTAAATTATTAATTAATAAAAATTAATTGCATTTTTTTTTATTTAAAAGCCTTTTTTAAGTATTAATTATCTTGCGGCCCAATAAAATTGTGAATTTTTTAATATACCCCTTACATTGAAAAATTTGCCACTCCCGTCTAGCAGATATAGATTGAATGCATATATGCATATTTGCGTTTTCGCGGTTTTTATTTTCAAAATTATTATTTTAAAATTTATTTATCATAAAGCATCAAGAAGAATTAATGATTCACCTATGACATCAAAATTTAATTCCAATAATTAAAAAAAAAAATTAGATACAGCATATAGAGTGGGTTGGCATATCGTACATAATAATGAAATTATACTACAGCTGACCAGTTTAAAACAATATAGATTAACTCACGAATAATATTGTATCCTCTATTCAAGAATTAACAGTGTGGCGGCCTTAAAATGATAATAATCTCCACATGCATAATACAACTCTATTTTTGCAAAAAAAAAAAACCCAAAAAACGAGTTTGATTTGATTTGATTTTCCTTTGAGTAATCAAGCGGACGTGCCTGAATAATCCACTTTTAAACATTTCATCAATCATGATTCCGTTTTGTCTAATGGCCAATTAATATACAATAAATGTATTATTATTATTATTATTATTATTATTATTATTATTATTATTATTATTCTATTTCCTTTGATTTCTGGTGTGTACTCATTTATTTCAGGCTTCCGACCAGAGACATAAGTCCAGAAATGACATCATGATATTTTCCACTGAGCAATTTAAAAAAGAAAAAAAAACATTTTACTTAGATAAAGCCCTCATGACAATATTTTTTTTTTTTTGATTTCTTTAAGGCTTTGTGCTACTAGGAATCTTTTCAATGAGTCTATTGGAATCTTTTCCAATCAATCCGAGAGCTCCAACTACAACAAGGATTTTTTGTGATGTTGACATGTGCCACATTTTTGAGGTTTCGATTTCAAGGTCCTTGTATTTTGATAGAATCTTGAAGATATTCAAAGTT